TTTTTTTTCCTTTTATTATTGTTTTTTAAAAATCCATATGCTACTAATATTAGCAGGAATTTTTTTTTCTTAATATTATACTCAATAGTTTGCTAACCTCATTAAAACGCAAAAAAATATCATTACCTAAATTATGAAGACTAGTTTTGGTACTTTATAGTTACATGTCTATAATCAAGGCTAATCAATTAATAATTTTCTTAATTCTTTTGGGAATACTTGAAATGTAGATTAAAAAAGGAACGAACGAAAATGGTACTAAATAGTCCCTGCAGCTCGGAAACAAAATTTATGAAACAAAAACCAAAATAATCTTAGTTTGGAAGCTAACACAACTTAAAGTGATTCAATGGTTATATCTTCTTAATTTATGTAAACATAAACAATTTTAAATTTAAGTTGTATGATCTACAAGTATTAAAAGAAATTAAAGAGTTAGTTTTTATTATATAATGCAATACTAATAAAAAAAATCTTTTGGAAGTTGAAGATCAAAAAAGAAAAGAAAGGTATTTTCCATTTGAACTAGCTAAAAACATGTTAGTAGGGGTTAAAAATAACATTATTAATAGTAAAAATGTTATTTTTAACCTGAAAAGTGAATTCAGATGGAAAATAGTTTTTTAAAAAAAGAAAAGGGGAATTCGGAGTTAAAGTATATTGGAAGCAGATTTGTGGAAGTGCGTGGAGGATGGTAGATGGGAGTAGTGGGTTTGGAGACACAGAAGGGTATAAGTCAATTCACTTTTCCTATCAGCACTTCAGAATCACACGAGCACAGCTAACCCTTTTTTTCTTCACTAAGTTATAGAGGGATGATTTTGTTGAATGGGGTTATAGGGAAGGTTGTTACGGAAAATGCACATGCACCCTTTCTTCCGCCCTCCCAAAAGTCTGTGTCACCCGTGAGTCAAAGCTCGTGACCTCTCACGTGCATGTCAACGTAACAGAAAAGGGACAACTCTCACACGCTTGAGACTTCTGTACTTAACCTTTATCTCTATATAATCTGGTTTGGACCTTGCAAAAAACAAGCACTACTCCACCATGCCTTTTCAACTCTCTTCCTACTGTGAGTTGTTTGAGTTCATTCCTTTATCATCTTGATCTTTAATTATATACTTTGATTGTTTTTTTTTTTTTTTTTTTTGAACGGATACATACTTTGATTGCTCTTGTTCTTGTTCATTTTCGACTTTCTTATTTTCTTTTCCTTTGGTTTTAGCTAGCTCCGTCCACCAAGAAAGAAATATGCATAAGGGATTGGTTATGTATCCGATGATGGGTACACTCCAATTACGGGTGAGTGGATTCCATGCTCTGCTTGTCAAGTGAGCAGTTTTTTGCGGATTAACCTTTGTTTCGTTGTCTGTTCGACCTTGAACGTATCGTTTTTAGAGATGCTAAATATGATATACAAAACCCTAGTCTCAATTGCATTAGGATTAATTAAATGAACTGAAATCACTTTTGCATCTATCTTTAGAGCTAATCCCATACTTTTGCTTTGCCCTCTTCCGTTTCTTTCCAAAACCATCTACTTCTTCAATATTTTAATAAAAAAGAATCAGAATCGCGAGACTTTGAATTAATAATATACTCCATTGATTCCACAAGAAAAGACACATATGCATGCATATGCCATATGGGTATACATTAATTTCCAGTGTAAATTGGCATGGTAGGTATATATAAATTAACGTTGGAAACATTACGGAAAAATTTGTGGTTTCCATTAGGGAAGTAAATAGTTCATTTCTGACTTTTGGGTGCATTGGAAGTCGTGAGAAAAGGAAATAAGACTAGGTAATATGATCCATTTATATTTATGTTGTTTGGGTGTACAATGGACCATGAGGTAGCATCTGGAATTGTCTATGGAGTTGCATTTTCAGGATCTAGAGCTAGCTATACATAATAACAGACCCAAGATAGCCAATAACATCCAAAAAATATAGTTGTTGGGTAAACTTATAAATTTACTTTTAATTGATTTTAGATTAGATATCCACGTAGTATGATAATATAACCAAGTTTCCCATTGACAGGGTATACACAAAGCCCAACGAGGCTGGGTGCATTGATCTCAATTAAAGTTACTAGTTTGGAATTTCTTTACCACTAAAGCATTGATATCAACTAGCTAGGTGCATATAGAAATTAAATTCCTAATTCTTAGTGTCTAAAAAAACTTGGTGATGAATAGATTTTGATCCATCCCTAGGGACAATACCTAACCTAATTAATACTAAGTGGCACTAGTAATTATTTAAGTTTAATTGGGGGGAAAAAATTAGAATATAAGAGATAGAAATGTTAGATGTGCAAAGTTTTTCATTTTTGTTCGTACTCCATATATATTTATTATTTAGCATCGAGTTGAACAAGAAGAAGAAACTATTTGGCATAGTGTCTTCCCAGTTAAAAAAGAAAAGAAAAGAAAAGAAAAGAATAATGAAGGTACCTACATAACTTTTATTTTATAAAACCCAATTGGGAAAAAATAAAAATATGCATAAGGACAGGGTAGATATGTAAGATATTCCATAATGGTACACTTGGATATGGTAATTTGGTAAGCATGTTGTAAACAAAAATACGTTTTTCTTTTGGCCAAAGTGAAAATACTTTGACCAGGGAGTTGATAATTTGGGAGGGTAGTTGTTTTTGTTTTGTTTTTTTCATATTCTGAACATAGGACGGGAGGGTAGTTGTTCAATAATTTTTTTTAATAAGTATAAATTTTAAAAAATAAAAAAAAATTTAAATTAATATTATATTAATAAAAGTAAATCTTTAAAATTGATTACAAATTAATCAGCCCGCAAGGTCAGGGGCGGGTGGCTGTTCAAACTTCGACCCAAAGTCAGATGGAGTACTGCCTAAGGAAGTGCAATCACTGGCCCGTAGAATTAAGCATGATATTGGGAAGTGCAATGATTGTATTTTTTTTATTATTTCCTTGAGTATTTTATTTTATTATTTGGATTATATTATGTTATAAAATATTAATTATTAAATTAAAAAAATTTTAAATTAAATATCAAATTTATATTAAAGTTCATATATCAATTTCCATAATATAAAATGTGGGGGGAGAAAATTGAGCAATAAAGAAAGTTACGTTTTCATTGTAAAATCTCAAATAAAAAGAAAAATTATTGGCCACCGAATTGATCGATTTTATTATTTCGTAAACTAATTAATGACGAGAGCACTACATTCAACTTTTTGTCGCATGTGGACCCAACAAACAGTTTAAAGAGGTTGGTTAAACGTGCATGGTGGCTGGTTTGGTGGGATTATAAGGTACTTAGGGGGGTTGGTGCATCCCCAACCAACTAAAAAACGTCACCGTCTTCTTTAGCTCTTCATCTAAATGCTACCACAAAAAAATTTTGTGATGTATATTTGTTAAGATTCCAATCCTAAGTATCAGGCTTGTATATCCTCTGTTCTATCTTTGCTGATGAAAAAAAAAGGGTTTCTATAGGTCCTCTGTGTATGTATATGTTCTGTTTAGTTTCTTCACATTCTGTAGATGTTGTACAAAACACTTATATATATGAACCCACCATATAAGAAAACAATACCTAAAAAACTCTTTTTAGAAAATTTTAAGTTTGCAACTTAGAAAATGAATTCTTTTGTCCAAGACAAATCACTGTTTAAACATAAAAAGGTAATGGGAGGCTATATAGGTTGTGGTATATATGGTTTGCTTGTATTTCGACAATTTAGTTGGGTAGAAATCAGGTTATATATCAAGATGGTATGGTGGAGGCGGATCTTTTTTTTTGGTTTTTTAATTTAATTTAATCCATGTAAGATCTTTTCAATAGATGGAAGGAAGGATTAAGAGCATGTTTGGGTTAACTTGTAAGAGTTTTTATTTTATTTTAATTATTCATGAGTGATAAATTTAAATTTTTAAAATTTTTATTGGAAGAAAAATTTTAAATTTGTTTTTAAATATAGGAAAAATGGAGTAAAAAAGGAGTTTATAAAAAGTTTGGATTTAAAATTTTAAACTTTTACTGTTTGAGGTTTTTTTAAGATTAAAAAAAATTGTAAGAGTTTTTATTTTATTTTAATTATTCATGAGTGATAAATTTAAATTTT